TGCAATCCCCCGTTGCCGCGGACGCACCCCGCAATATCGTACGGTAAATCTCCGCGAGGGAATATACGCGTGCTAGAAAAAAACGATAGGCTTACCTGGGAAAGCTCTACTACGCTGTCTGAAAAGCGTTGCGCGAGCGTGCAGCACGTTCGTGTGCGGGGAACGTGCGAAAGAAGCGTGCAAGAGGGTATGCGGCACGTCGGCTAACGAAAATCGATAAAGGGTGGTTTTACGAACCAATTTCTGCGGCGATATAGTGTCTCCTTCGACGACGTCGACGGAGGTTGGTGGACTTACCTGCAAAAGAAAAGAAAGAAAAAAAGAAGAAATGAGATAACAATAAGTATTTAAACATAAATCAAGCCTGACGCGGCGTTCGCGCGAGATTTTCATCTTCATCCATCATTCGTATAATCTCTCTCTATTGTAACGCTTATAATATTCCTCCCCCGAGATCGTCGGCAGTTAAAATGTAAATCCAATACTGAAAGATGTGTAATTTTATGCGCCAGCCCAACCGGGGTATCCGTCATTCGCGTTTGCCGATATTTCCAATTATAAAAAATGAATGCATCGATATCACGCGGAGATCGTGGAGATTGATGATAAAAAGATTCCCCCTGAAAATGTCAGCGGGAACATTAGAAATACGATTCTTTATATCCGCGTGAATCGGTAAATTTAAACGAGTGTCCGCACCGCGCCTGGCATTTAACAGAAATCCTCGTCGTCGATCGGTGTGGGTGAGCCTTTAACGCTCGGAGACCAGCGTATATATTAGGTTAGTAACAAATAGATCAATATTGGCTCGTGGTTTACGTGCGACGCATCGGGTCGCATATGAACTCATTTCCTCTGGGCCATCGGCAATCGCGGAATATTTTTCGAGGACTCCGCGATCTGTCAAAAGTGAACGTCCGAGTTTTAAACAAATCCCTCGAATCCGCGAACTTCGCGTATCTCTACGAGCCTTCGAGTGCGGATTTTCGAGTTTCTTAATTTCGAGGGGACCGTGAATTTTTCGAATTTACCAATCTCTCGACGAAAATAAAATCAAATCTTCAATTTCAACGGTCTAAAATCCAAGTCCGAGCGTCGAGACGCGAAAACGCAACGTATGATTTTATAATGTGATATACATACTCAAAGTAGACAAAGTGCCTCGTGCGTATTCCGTAGAATCATGAATCTTCCCCGTCGAGTTCGCGATGCAATTGCTAATTCTCGCATGAATCACCGCCATGAATTCTCCTCGCTGACGCCGCACGTGCCCCGATTAAACGCGCCCCTCGAAACGAGATCGATACACGCGTAATAGCAAACAGGCGGTGATACTCCTTCCTTCCTTCCTTCCTCTTTATTTTTTTTTTTTTTTTTTTTTCATCGGACGATCTGTCGACCGCGGATAAGCGCCGCGTTTTCATTTTTTAATTGGCAAACAGCCGCGAATCGGCCCGAGTAGGCCGCCGACTCGCGCCGCAGAGCAGCGTAAATGCGCTTTTCTCGCAAAGCCACGATGCGAATCCAACGTGTCCCGCAAACCGAGGACGAACGCCGGGGCTTTAACGACACTGACCTTGCCCACTCGGTCGGAGAATCTCCATTAGTCCGCGGAATTATTCCGCGGGGAGCGACGAATTATAGAACGCGCGGCCCGATAACGCTCGCGATTCGAAGCTACGTCGTTCTAATGAGCCTCGACGTGTTTCGTTGTTTCCGAAAAAACGAGATCGCGCTAATTTAGTAGAGGAGCGTTCGAATAATTCTGCATTCTATCTCTTCAGCATTTCTCCGCACGATCGTGACTCGCGATACGTAGTATGCGATATACGTTCGTGGCTAATGTATATGTAGTATAGATTAAAAGATCAAATCGCGAGGTTTTATTCTTTTATTCGCGGTCGTATATAATGAGTTGCTTTTAGCGTAGCGCCGTTCGATTTGTGTCATGCTACTCGGAATAAACAGCGTTACCTCTTACGTTCTATTTTTCTCCGACTTCGACCTACGTGTTCTTACCTTTTTTCGAAATGTCATATTCGGAATATACACTACCGTAATAATAATATTGTACTATGCGAGTACGTTCGGAGTGAAACTTATTCGCACAAATCGTCTATAAAGCTATGGAAAATAACTTGTGTTTAAAGTTCAAATATAGATGTTCCAAGCTGATGTTTAGAGCACACTGATTTTAATTCAATATTCAATATTGAAGACAATGATTTCGGAGGTAGATGCAATTTTGCTAAAGATGTATATTTATTTTAATATTTTTACAAGTCAAACTTTGTATCGATTACGAATTATATAATTTTTTTGTTTGTACTTTTGAAAAATATAAAATTTGGTTTAATTTAACTCCCAGTATATAAAGATAAAATATTAGAAAAAGCAACTTCAAAAAAATCCTTGACTTTTCAAGGCAAATTCTTTAAGAATTTCAAGTTTTTTCAAGTAATAGACATCATAGAATATTAATTTTTTTTTTTTAATTCATTCTTGCGTTTATTTTTAATTAAAAAATGCTGTCTACATTCTTATGGCGTGTATGAAATGTTTTTTCGTTATAAAATTGCGAAAAGGAAAAAACGTGAGATCTTGCGAAAGATTTTTGCATCCGTTTATGATACTACGATAATCGAATATCTAGGTACTTACAAGGGGAGAAAAATATAGTTCGTTTATCGCAGTCAACACAATGCTAAGCGATAAAGACTTTTTCCAGCTTGCACGTGAACAAGACGATTGTTGAGTTCGCCATTCAACATCGCACACGAGTTACATTGACGTAGAAGAATGACTTATCTTACGTCATTTCAGAACTGAAGAGAAAATAGAGCGAAAAGAAATTCTGAACAAACAAGATAAGCTAACGACAAAATTTACAGAGAAAATCTAGAGTGAAACTGGCGAAGAAAATAAGATTTAGAATTAAAAGCGAAGAAGAAAACATAAGTCACGATAAAAAAACATCGTCGACGATTGCTTCGAAATCGACGCGAGCGAGTTTTAATCTTCAAAACCGACTCCGTCGAGTTTCAATCTCAAAAATGTGTTGGATGCGCTGTGAATACCCAGTTAAAAAGTCGAGAGGGTAAAAACAACTGTCCAGCCGTATTGGCTAGAGACTTGAAAGCCGATCGATACATCGCCCGTTGAAAATATCAAAAAAGACCAGCCAGAAATGCGGACTTTCCTCTGGTAAAACGACGTTGGGAGAGATTTCGTTTTGCACGTTTCTCGACGCAGAAAACACGACGTTGCCAACGGCGATGCCGTCATCAGATCGGTCTCAGCCAATCGCTGTCGCGAACGCCGCAGCAACGGCAGCAACATAAATCGATAATTACATATGCATTAAATTGCACAGCGCGGCTCCAGTTGGTTATCGCAATCTCCGTGGAGAATGGAAAAACTCGGTCTAATCGAAAGCTCGTTGACCTCTTCGAGTCACGTTCTTTTCTAGAGTCTACGATAACAAATGGATTTTGACACTTCCTCGTCGTAGATAAATCATCATTTTTCTTTCGCGAAATGTCGCGATAAAATAGATCTCGAAACGTGATCGATAGAAAATAGATTTTATTGCGTTCCGCTCTAAAGCACAGACAATAAAATTTTATCTTTCAATTAATCCCGGACCGCTTAACAGAATCTTCGGAGATTCGAGATACTGTCAGCAAGCTGTTCCATATGAACGATAGTTTTTCAATTTCTTTGTTATGAAGTATCTAGAGAAAATAATTTTAAAAATATAGAACCTCTTAAAATTTTTATTTAAATTATCATGTAACAACTTTCTTTGAGAAAGTTGTTTCACACGAGAAAAAAAATTAAGAAGTTATTACACTTGAATATAATCCGACACGTGCAGAGCTCTAAAAATACAACCGTCGCGATCGAGCAGTATAATTAGAATCCCTCCTGAATTAAAATATAGATAAACATTTCTCGCTGTCCGATCTGCGAATGGCATTCGCATAAAACGAGATTCGTCACGCGAGAGATACGGACAACGCACGTGAACGTCAATCTCTCTCTTATCCCGACGTTTTAATTGTATGCAATTTAAAAATTCCTTCGTACGAAAGTGCGAACAACGAGATGTGCTTCAACACTCTCGAGGACACCGTTCGAGACTTTCCTTGATAATTCCGCGAACGAAATTGAGCTCCAGAACGGGAGCGTGAAATCTACTCTCGAAATTGACGTTCGAGTGGACGACGAGCCACAGGTGGCACTGTATACATGCGTATACGTGACATTGTGTACATGTGTATGTGCGTACGTGTGTACGCAGCCACTTCAGCCTAAGGGCTTTTATTGTGCAAACGAAGGTCGGGAGAAAAAAGATAAGGGCTCACTCCCCTCCCTGCCTCCGGTCGATAAAAACTGCAATTAGTATCCGTGCACTTTTCAGCTTCTCTTTTTATTTTTTTTTTCCTTTTCCCCGCCGTTTTCTCATCGGACGAGTACAATAGCTCGCAGGAGCATCGCGAAGAACTTTTTATATCCCGGCCTTATTAACAGCATTTCCATCTAACGAGAATTTAACGTAACACGACGTCGTAAATGTTTTACAAGATTATGCGAAAGATATTTAAAAATTTCTCTATCGTCGAGTTTCATAATCTATAATTAAATCACCGATAATTCAAAAACTTTGAAAACAAACGGTGATAAAGGCACCACGTTTTCAGCACCCTTGCGATAATTCGCATATCTCAGGCTTGCTGCCACCTGGCAAATTAATTCCGTCGCATTAATATGTGACAAGGAAACGCCCAATTATGTTATTATCGAACGAGTCATCTCGATCAGTGTCTTTTTAGCAAAATTGCCGCCTTTCCCTGATACCAAACTCAAAATGGCATTCTCTCGAATTATCATTACGAACCCGGGGAAAGAAGGTTAATTCTATTATTTGCATTCAGAGAACTGCGAGTTCGAGGCAACTAATACGCGACATGATAATAATCCTGGAGAAGTTACTTGAATCCTGAACGTCCCCCCGTATCTCACATAGTGACACACGCGCGCGAACATAATACAAACATATAGACAGTTTCTCGAGTACGAGAATACGGCGCTACGCTCTCTCTCGAGAATACAATGAGCGCCCATCGCACAATATGCTGAATATCCCTGCAATATCACGACGTTATCACGTGCGTTATCACACGTCGTCGTGTGAAACGCAACGAGATGGCTACGGATACGGGAACGCCGGATTCCATCAACGAAAGATAACATAGACACACGGTATGT